GTGCTTTTTTCGGGATCTTAGTACACGAACATTATCAGTTGATGTAATATCACAACTGGCATTGAATATTCCAATCTTGTTGTGCAATTTGGAAAAGATCTTCCCACCATCATTTTTTGATGTTATGGAACATCTTCCTGTTCATCTCCCACACGAAGCAGAGCTCGGTGGACCCGTTCAGTACAGGTGGATGTATCCGTTCGAGCGTTTCATGAAGCATCTTAAGGGTAAAGCCAAAAACCTAGCTAAAGTGGAAGGCTCAATTGTGGCGGGAAGCTTGATGCAAGAGACTTCACACTTCACTTCATACTATTTTGCACCGAAAGTACAAACACGCAAAAGAGCTACTCGTCGATATGATGATGGAGGAGTTGGCCAAACATATGCCGTTGAAAGTGTACCTGACATATTCTCGCCGATCGGACGTCTTAGTGGAAAACTAAAAGAAGTTTGGTGGTCGAATGAAAAAGATTATCACAGTACACATACATATATCTTGTTAAATTGTGAAGAGTTGTCATCGTACGAAAGGTACTTTTTAATTAATAATATATTTATATATATATATATAGTCAGTATTAATAAACTATTTGTTGTTTTCTCAGCACATTCGTTGATGAGGTTAAAGAATGCATATATGGGGTTTCTCAAACTGAAATCAATGATCGTAAAGATCAACACTTTGCCCAGTGGTTAAAAGCGCAAGTACGTATAAAATTTTAATTAAAAGACTACTTTGATATATATCTAAATCAAGAAATTAAAGCAAATTTTTTCCTTATTAGGTGGACCCGAATGATCCCGATGAATTTCCAACATGGTTCCATGAGTTACTACTAGGTCCGATGGAAAAAATAACTACAGCCTCCATGTATTTCACTCGGGGCTATGTTTTTCACACATACCGTCACGGTGCAAAGCGGGCGACAACTAACTATGGAGTTTGTGTGAGGGGTGAAATAGATTTTTATGGAGTTCTGCAAGAAATAATTGAAGTAGAGTATCCTGGATTGTTAAGGCTGAAAATTGTTCTCTTCAAATGTGATTGGTTTGATCCAACTGTTGGAAGAGGGGTATGTCTAAACAAGTTCGGAGTTGTTGACGTGAACAAATCACGACAGTACAACAGGTTTGAGCCATTTATATTAGCTTCTCAAGCAGAACAGGTAACATTTCTGCCATACCCTCGAGTTCGATCAACAGGAATCTCATGGTTAGCTGTAGTTAAAGTGGCTTTGAGGGGCAAGATTGTAGGGGTTGAGGATGTTCCACTTCAACAGGACACTTGCGCAGATCTGTCTGAACCAGATGTTGATGAGGAGATTTTCTTAATAGACCCTCGGAACAGGCAAGTTGAAGATCTTCCCGATGATACAGAAGAAGAAGGTGGTGATGAGTTTGCTGAAACCGATGATGACGATTTGGTGGAAGACGAAGGTGATGGTGACGAAGTAATAGAGGAAGATGAATCTGATTGAGTTTCAAACATATATTGTATTTAGTGAATGTTTGTTATTATGTAATTTGTAACTTTGTTTGTTCGAATTTTTAAAATTGAAAAAAATTCGATTTTACGACCATTTTACGACGATTTTGATAAACCCTAAACCCTAAGTCTAGGTTTTAAGCCCTAAATGAATAGGGTTTAAGCATTATGACGTCTTTACGACGACCAGTCGTAATAGCATCGTAATATTCGACGATTTTACGACGCGTTCACTATTTAGTCGTAAAATCGTCGTAATACTAAAATTCAAGATTTTGAATCTTTTATATCTTATTGGTTGTAAGGTATTTCACAAATGTTTTTGATTGGTTATCTTATTTTATATGAAAGGCTATCAATCTGATCAAAATCAAAAATTTGAAAAAAAAACATACATATTTACAAGTTCATGCATGTTTTCATAAATGTTAAGTAAAATGTTATATATTAGATTACGGAATTTCAATATTTACTATCTCATGTACTAAATCCGTCATACATGCAAAGTTATAAACCTTTTGTTATATGTTAGGATACAATAACCTTTGCGTTGTTCTTTATGCAATAAGCCTTTTGAAAGATTTAGGGTTTGATAACTTTTTAAATAAACATCGTAAAACCGTCGTAATATTATCGTAACGTTACGACGGTTTTACGACTAAGTTTCTTAAAACCGTCGTTAAACCGTCGTAACGTTTGCACCCGGATTGGCTCCAGATCCAAGGTACGAGGTTATAAATGTTGTAACGTTATGACGGTTTTACGACGGTTTAGGGTTTAGTCGTCGTAAAACCGTTGTAACGGTCAAACGCTCCCATCATGACACGTGTCATGTCATGCAGTGGACCGACTGTTATACAACCAAATCGTCGTAAAATCGTCGTAAAATTGTCGTAACGTTACGACGATTTTACGACGATCACAAAATCTATATAAGGGACGCGAGTTTTCCCCCTTCGTCGCTCATTCCTCTCTTCCCCCTCTCTCTCTATAAATCTCTCTCTCTCTCTAGAAATCTACCTCTCCCTCTCTCCCTACTCTCCCAGCCAATTTAATTGTAAGTAATTTTTTTTAAATTACTTTCATTACAGTTTATTTAAATAATAGATAGGCCTGGAATTTAGATAGGTTTAGGTTTGAAATTTAGATAGGCCCGGAATTTATAAATATATGATATAATTAGTAACAAATGTTATTTAATTTTGTAGATTACTTAGATATGGCTCCTCGGGCAAAGAGGTTCCACTAGCGACAGATGGTAGATCCAGACGGGAGTGCCTGTAGTTCAGAATGGCAGTGATTCACAACTAACAAATGAGGGATCATGGAGCTCACCAACTAAAATCAGATGTGCACAAAACCATACTCAACAAAAAGGGATCCAGGAGAGTGTTGAATCTCCTTCTCGATTTTATATATTAGCAGCAAAAGGTGAGAAGGAGGAGGTGGAAGAGGTAGTTGAAACACCTGAAGAGAATGAATCGGAAGAAGGGGAGTCAGAGCAAAGACCATGAGTCGAAGGTGGAGAGATTAGAGGAACGAGCTCTCTTCGTATCTCTCTTGTTGTAGCTTTAAAAAAAAAAATATTAGTAATGAGCCTAACTCACACCCAAAAGCTAGCTCAAGAGTGGAGGATTGCCATACACTAATATATTGTCCACAAATCTCCTATATTGTCGATGTGGGACACTAACACACCCTACTCACGCTCAGGATTGGACATCTGAAGCGTGAAGTTTTGTAGGACTGGACATCCACGAATGTGGCCAACAATCGAGCAATTAGAACCTTGGACTATGATACCATATTAGTAATGGGCCTAACTCACACCCAAAAGCTAGCTCAAGAGTGGAAGATTACCACGTATATATATATTGTCAACAAATCTCCTATATTGTCGATGTGTGACACTAACCAAAAAACATCTTGGAAACAGTTACTCAGACTAAAAACTTTAGTAAAAAGTTACCAAGAAGAAAAACTAAATAACGAGCTTTTTCTAGAATGTGTACGGATTTAACATTTGTGAATTTCTAAAAGTATACTAGACCAAAAATCTTTCATATCACACAATTCTTGTTTTACAATTCTCGAGGTCACAAGTTATTTATTCAGTTTGGAAATCACCAAAAATAGTGAATATTCAGTTGAATTTACTAAATAAAATTGTAGTGTAAAAACTCAGTTTATGTATCATTCATAATCTGATGCTTTCTAACTGATTTTCTACCAATTTTATCTTCAAATATGATTGAACAGTGTATATGTTTGTGTCTTGCATCTGATTTTCTGCCAAATTTTGTTTACATATATGAAATGATAATTTTTTTTTAAGGTCTTTGTGTTTTTATAATTATTGTCATAATAACATTGCGCATGAAATAGGATTATAAATCTTATATATAAAAGATGTTGAACACTCTTCATTTTTTTGACACGTCATTATCTATATAATTACCATGTGTCTTGAAAATTTTATATTTTGCATTTATTTAAACGAAATGCTCCAGTCTGATTTTCGATATTTCATTTCATTATTGTTTTTTGGACTAAAATTAAAAAAAGTTACTGGACTATTTTGTGCATGGTCGGTTAAAAAAAGAATTTCCCTAAACTATAGTATTTGGGCTTGTAATATTTTTATATCTTTTATATTCAAAGCATTTTCTCAACAAAAAAATTAAACCACTAAAAAAAATAAAAAAAAATTATTGTTAATTGTCTCTTAACTAACATTTATGTAAATGTTAAATAAAAACTTATGTTATAACTAATTAAAATATTGATGATTATTTATTTAATTTTTATATAACTTTAAGTTATTTAATAATATTGAATATGTATTTTAAATTAATTTTTAAGATTATTTATAATAACATACTAACAAATAGTAAATAATGATTATATTATTTTATAAAAATATAAAAAATATATAAATTTGAAATAGTTGAAAAAAACATATATGTTATGTGCAGGTATTCACCTAATGTTTCTTATATGATTTGAAAGTTGAAGTGTACAACCAAAACCATATTCCACTCAACGATTTCTAGATTCATAGATGACTTTTCTTTTTTTGCTAAAGGGTTTAGATTGCGGTCACAAATCAAAAGAGAAATCTAAGATAATTTATAATTTTAGGATAAAGACCAGATTAAAAGGATAAGTGTGTAGAAAATATAAAGAATTGAAAAGAGTTAATTAGAAAACCAGTTAAAAACAGAAAATAAAAAGCGCCATATTAGGAGGCCAATGTCTAGATAAACGGTGAGACAAGAGATTTGGTCTTTCCTGTCTTTTTTTTTTTGGTAAAATGGTATTTCCTTTGTTTCTCACCCACTCGTTACAATATTAATCACAGTAAAAAAAACAGAAAATCTATATCTCAAAATCCATTTTTTTCTATTTTTGTTTTTTCTTCATCTTCACGGTATCTTTGCAGATATTGTTTAAAAAATTTAAAACTTTTTGAGTTTTTCACTGTCTTTCTTTTGTTTCGCGTGTGATCATTAACTCAAGGTGAATTCTATATCCTAGTTAATATCACACGCGGAATAACCAAAATTCCAATTGTATGTTGTATCCAACATTTGGAGAATCTGAGGATTAAAAGTCAAGTATTCGAAGAGAAGAAGAAAGCCAAAAAAATTTGGTAAAGACAGCTTTTCATATTCTTGTTGTTTATATCCCAAAACAAAGTCTTTTAATCACTGCCTATCATTTGATCATTTTCCCTATTAATCTGTGAATCTAGAAATTCTTATTTTCTTCTTCTTCATTAAAAAAAAAAACAAATATTCAATCAATCGTGGGCGAGAAAAAGAAAAGAGAATATAAAAAAAATTGACTTTTGTGTGTAGTTTTTCTCACATTATTTATTCTTATGGGATTTTTGTATATTCTTGAAAAAAATTGATAAAAAGGACGTGTTGAGCAGTTACCACTTTCTTTTCTCTCTCTTGATTTTCCCTGTGTTTTAAAGTTCTTCAAAGTTTCTCATTTTTTTCTCGGTAACCTGTAATTTCGAGTGTCTCTCGGGAACAGAGTTTTTTTTGCTCTCTTTCATTACTTCTTCTTCCACACAATTATACACGCGTCTCTGCTTTCATCTTCTTGCTGTCAATGAGATCCGAGTTGTAGGTCTTTTCACATTTCTATCTATCTTTCTATCTCTCTGGAAGAAAAAAAATGGCACCGAAGTTTGATTGGTGGGCCAAAGGGAACCATCGTAAAGGTACACCGGTCGTCGTCAAAATGGAAAACCCTAACAACTGGTCAATGGTGGAAATCGAATCACCGGCGGAGCAAGATTTTCTCGTCGAAGGTCGGCGTGAGAAATCTCGGAACAAGAACGCGAGACAGCTCACTTGGGTCCTCCTCCTTAAAGCCCACCGTGCCGCAGGGTGTCTCACTTCCCTCGGCTCCGCATTAATCGCTCTCGGAACCGCTGTACGCCGTCGTATCGCCGTCGGCCGTACAGACACTGAGATCTCATCTCCTTCGCCGGCTATTACCAAATCGAAGTCGAGGTTCTTCTATTTGTGCTTGAAACTGTTTCTATGGCTTTCGCTAATGCTCCTAGCTTTTGAAGCTGCTGCGTATTTCAAAGAATGGCATTTCGAAACACCAAAGCTTCAGCTTCAATTTGGTATCAGAGGATTTTTTGATTCGGTATATACTTTCTGGGTTTTGCTTCGTGTTGAGTATCTGGCTCCTCCGCTTCAATTTCTCGCTAATGCTTGCATCGTCCTCTTCCTTATACAAAGCCTAGACAGACTCATTCTCTGCGTAGGTTGTTTCTGGATCCGGTTTAAGAAAATCAAACCGGAACCCAAAATTGCAATCTCCGATTTAGAATCCGGCGAAGATGGTTTCTTCCTCCCCATGGTTCTTGTTCAGATTCCTATGTGTAACGAGAAAGAGGTAAATCCAAAACAACATCGATACGAGATTAGTCCAAAGCTATTCGGATGCTAATTCCTTATGGGTTTTGATTTTTGACAGGTTTATCAGCAATCAATTGCGGCTGTGTGTAACTTAGACTGGCCAAGATCGAAGATTCTGATTCAAATCCTGGATGATTCTAATGATCCAATCACGCAGAGTTTGATCAAAGAAGAGGTTCATAAATGGCAGAAGGAAGGTGCACGAATTGTGTATCGTCACCGTGTGAATAGAGAAGGCTACAAAGCTGGAAATCTCAAGTCTGCGATGAACTGTAGCTACGTCAAAGACTACGAATTCGTGGCCATTTTTGACGCCGATTTTCAGCCTCTACCAGATTTCCTTAAAAAGACAATTCCTCATTTTAAGGTACCTTAGATTTGTTTCCAAATTTGACAGATTTGGTGAAGTTTATCATTTGATCGTATACGAAATTCTAACAGGACAATGAGGAACTAGGACTGGTACAGGCGAGATGGTCGTTTGTCAATAAGGAAGAGAACTTGTTGACAAGGTTACAGAACATTAACTTGGCATTTCACTTTGAGGTTGAACAGCAAGTGAATAGTGTGTTCTTGAACTTCTTCGGATTCAACGGGACGGCTGGTGTGTGGAGGATCAAGGCTTTGGAAGATTCTGGTGGTTGGCTCGAGAGAACTACCGTCGAGGATATGGACATTGCTGTTCGTGCTCACCTCCATGGTTGGAAGTTCATTTTCTTGAACGACGTCGAGGTATTGTGGCAACATTATTACCAAGTGTTTATTTGTTGTTTGATTCATGGCTAATGACATACTCTCTGTTTGCTGCTGTTTCTCTCAGTGCATTTGCGAATTACCCGAATCTTATGAAGCTTACCGGAAACAGCAACACAGATGGCATTCAGGACCTATGCAACTATTTCGCCTTTGTTTGCCTGCTGTCATTAAATCAAAGGTGCGCCAACAAAAGATCCTCGGCCTCTTTCAGTATAATATGCTATAAGAGTTATGGGTTTGTACCAGGACATGTAGGATGTAGCTTAGTGGTTTGTACTAGTGTCGTTTTGGGTATTCTGATACCATTGTGTGTGTGTTTTGCAGATAAGCATAGGCAAGAAGTTCAATTTGATATTCCTCTTCTTCCTACTGAGGAAGCTCATCTTGCCATTCTACTCATTCACACTCTTCTGTATCATCCTGCCAATGACGATGTTTGTGCCTGAGGCTGAGCTTCCTGCTTGGGTTGTCTGCTACATACCTGCCACAATGTCGTTCCTCAACATCCTTCCCGCCCCGAAATCATTTCCGTTTATTGTCCCGTACCTTCTCTTTGAGAACACAATGTCGGTGACCAAGTTCAACGCGATGGTCTCGGGTCTGTTTCAGCTGGGAAGTGCATATGAATGGGTTGTTACGAAAAAATCAGGGCGATCATCAGAAGGAGATCTGGCTGCGTTGGTTGAGAAAGAAGGAAAGAAAACGAAACATCAGAGAGGTGTGTCTGCACCCGAAACAGACGCTGAGAAGAAAGCTCAAAAGAAGGACAAGAAGAAGAAGCACAATAGGATCTATATGAAGGAGCTGTCGCTGGCGTTTCTATTATTAACCGCAGCCACTCGAAGTCTTTTATCGGCTCAAGGTATCCATTTTTACTTCCTCTTGTTTCAGGGAATATCCTTCTTACTGGTGGGTCTAGATCTAATTGGAGAGCAAGTTGAATGACAGTAAAGAAATTGGCTGGGTCTTAATAGTTCTTGTAGAGAAACATTGTAGAAGACAGGAAAGGGTCTGGACCCAAGAATACAATTACGTCTGTATCACATCACTGAACATAGATCAGCTTTCACAGAGGAAGGACATGGATAAAATGTGTTGGTAATATGTAAGCTTTCTCTCTCTCTTTTTTTTATTTTCTCCTCTCTTTTGGGTTTGGTTGGCCACAGTTCTTTATTCTTTTAATCAAGGGGACAATTCTTTTGTAAGAAAGTTTTGTTCGATTAAGGGAAGGCAAATCAATTTATCTTAAAAGAGACATTGAGGTGCACTTATTCTAACCAAATCACTATTTTTCTTTCATTTATTACCTCAGACCTCCTCGATCTCATAGTGTGTTCCACAACAAGGCCACAGTTATTTTCGTCAGTAGTGCCATAATTTCACGTCTAAAATCAAATTTGTCACGGATGACCACAACAAAGTATCATTACGGTTTTTTTGCTAAATTTGTAAATATCATTAAGGAATAAAAGTTCAACTTAAACCTAATACATTGAAACCTTGCCAAAAAAAAAGAAAAGAAACAAGGAATCAAAAAGGTTGAAGAGGAATAGATCTCGTCATTGGATCTCAGCCTGGGCTTTCGGGTATTCGGATCGGTTCCGGATCGGATCCGATCGGTTCCGGGTATTTCGGTTCTTGACAATCAGGATCCAAAATGGTACCGAAATTGATTCGGTTCGGTTCCGGTTCGGTTCCTTTCGGTTTCGGATCGGTTCGGATCTGATGACCTAAGAACCGGAAAATACCCAAAATAATTCGGTTCTTATTCGATTCCGGATCCCAATACCCGAAATCCATAAATTATATCCGAAATAACTTCAAAAGTACCTAAAGTTATGAAAAGTACCCGAAAATTTAAAAGATCCGAAATTTTAAATTAAGTGTTCAACAAGCATCATCCATCAAGTACCAAAAAGCATCGACGTGCAAAAACATCAAATACCAAAAAAAAGAAACAAGCATCAAGTACCAAAACAAACAAGGTGCAGAAACATCAGTTTAAAAAGAGATGCCAAAATAAAACAAGTTTAAAGAGATAAGCTAGTAGTCGCCAATGTTGTAACTTGTAAAACATGAAAATGCAACACCATCTTGTCTTGAGAAACTATAACAAAAAAAAACGAGTACAACATTAGTCAAGATATCTCATTACCAAATACAACTTTAACACAGATGAAATTGCAAAAAATGATGTCTCTTACCTCAATTACGACCCTTAGCTCTTCATTGAGCCCTTACTCATGCAGATTCATTTCTCCAAATTCTGTAAAGTGTAAAAAATATGATCATAAGTGTATAACTTTGAAAATTAAACTGGAATTTGACAAGGACAAGAGTAACTAACCTCTCTGAAGATCATCTTGGTCTTCAATCTCATCAAGTAGTTGCCCAATGGTTATAGTTTCTCTACTATCCATCCTTATCTCAGACTTCAACCCAAGCAATATGCGACCGTCCACACCTAGCTGTTGTTGACCTTCTTTTTTTGTTGCAACCCAAGCAATATGCTGCTTACAGAATCGCAGATGCTTCTTCAGATTTGAAGTCCCAGATGATGATGCACAACCCATGGACTTGTGACAGTAATGACAATTGCACTTGTCATAGTTAGTCTTTGATCTTGTGAAGTGGTTCCATACCAACGACCTTGTTCTTTTCCCACTAGCAGAAGTGGGAGTCTCAACTTCATCTTCTGTTTCCTCTAGCTGCACATCCATATCAACATCTTCGTCTTCTTCCATGTTTGGAGGATTTTGATTATAAGCCATCTGTAAAAAGAAGACATCAATTACATTTCACATATATAAACAAAGTAACAAACCCAAAAGAATTCGTATCACATGACACATAATCACATATATAAGCACTAGTGCACAATCACGCACAACACATGAGTTTTTCTATCCCAAACAACTCATGCCAATATCGTGTGACTAATGAAGTAATAAAGAACACATATAAACAATTCTTATCACATATGTCGATAACCCAAATTTCACATCTAAGCAACTAAAAACCAAAATCCTCAAATCGATTTTTTTTTTTTTTTGAAACCCTAAATCCCTAAATCGATTTCGTAAATTAAACCTGAAATCAAGAAAAATTCGAAATATAAACAAAGAAAACATAGAAGATATGAACTCAATTTCTCATCTAAGCAACTAAAAACTAAAATCCCCAAATCGTTTTTGAATTTTTTAAGAACCCTAAATCCCCAATCGATTTTTTGTACTTAGAGTCAGATATAGATGGGATCTGTAATGGAAATGAACTAACCTCTGATTGATTTCGTGATGTTGCAGACACTGGAGCCGGCGACAAGCGACGGCTGGAGAGGTTTTTTTATTCCAGTTTTTAAAGTGTAAAACTCTCTAAACCTGCTTTAACGAGAGATAGACTTAGAGAAATTAGGTCTGGGAGAAAAAATGACAATTTTAGAGTCTATAGATTGTGTATGTCTATTTTTGTGAAAACTTTATTGTATACATTTATTATATATATGTCGCAGAACATTTTTTATTTGGGTCAACTCTGATTAAAATTCAAAATGTACTTGGTTTAGTCAATAACTTGGTTCTATTCGGTTTGTTCAACAAAATTAAAACCTCTTCAAATAATTTCGGTTATTTGGTTCGGATATTTCGGTTTTCGGGTATTACCCAGAACCGAACCGGTATCCGTGGATCTCTAAAACAAGATCTAATAGGTATTTTAGGGAGAACCGAAACCGAACCGAACCGGTGATTTTGGGTCGGTTCCGGTTCGGGTATTTCGGTTCTGGTTATTTTCCCCAGGCCGGATTGGATCCATCAAACCTTTTAAGTCGTGTCTTCTTGCCAATTGCCATGATGGTGTTTCATATCTATGAGACTATGACGTATTTGTACCATAATTCACCGCACGGCAAGAATTTAGACCATATCTTTGGATGGGTAGAAGTCAGCCTGGGCTTTCGGGTATTCTGATCGGTTCTGGATCGGATCCGATCGGTTCCGGGTATTTCGGTTTTTGACTATCAGGATCCAAAATGGTACCGAAATTGATTTGGTTCGGTTCTGGTTCGGTTCCTTTCGGATCCGGATCGGTTCGGATCTGATGACTTAAGAACCGGAAAATACCCAAAATAATTCGGTTCTTATTCGGTTCCGGATCCCAATACCCGAAATCCATAAATTATATCCGAAATAACTTCAAAAGTACCTAAAGTTATGAAAAGTACCCGAAAATTTAAAAGATCCGAAATTTTAAATTAAGTGTTCAACAAGCATCATCCATCAAGTACCAAAAAGCATCGACGTGCAAAAACATCAAATACCAAAAAAAAAAAAACAAGCATCAAGTACCAAAACAAACAAGGTGCAGAAACATCAGTTTAAAGAGAGATGCCAAAATAAAACAAGTTTAAAGAGATAAGCTAGTAGTCGCCAATGTTGTAACTTGTGAAACATGAAAATGCAACACCATCTTGGCTTGAGAAACTATAACAAAAAAACGAGTACAACATTAGTCAAGATATCTCATTACCAAATACAACTTTAACACACATGAAATTGCAAAAAATGATGTCTCTTACCTCAATTACGACCCTTAGCTCTTCATTGAGCCCTTACTCATGCAGATTCATTTCTCCAAATTCTGTAAAGTGTAAAAAATATGATCATAATAGTGTATAACTTTGAAAATTAAACTGGAATTTGACAAGGACAAGAGTAACTAACCTCTCTGAAGATCATCTTGGTCATCAATATCATCAAGTAGTTGCCCAATGGTTATAGTTTCTCTACTATCCATCCTTATCTCAGACTTCAACCCAAGCAATATGCGACCGTCCACATCTAGCTGTTGTTGACCTTCTTTTTTTGTTGCAACCCAAGCAATATGCTGCTTACAGAATCGCAGATGCTTCTTCAGATTTGAAGTCCCAGATGATGATGCACAACCCATGGACTTGTGACAGTAATGACAATTTCACTTGTCATAGTTAGTCTTTGATCTTGTGAAGTGGTTCCATACCAACGACCTTGTTCTTTTCCCACTAGCAGAAGTGGGAGTCTCAACTTCATCTTCTGTTTCCTCTAGCTGCGCATCCATATCAACATCTTCGTCTTCTTCCATGTTTGGAGGATTTTGATTAGAAGCCATCTGTAAAAAGACGACATCAATTACATTTCACATATATAAACAAAGTAACAAACCCAAAAGAATTCGTATCACATGACACATAATCACATATATAAGCACTAGTGCACAATCACGCACAACACATGAGTTTTTCTATCCCAAACAACTCATGCCAATATCGTGTGACTAATGAAGTAATAAAGAATACATATAAACAATTCTTATCACATATGTCGATAACCCAAATTTCACATCTAAGCAACTAAAAACCAAAATCCTCAAATCGATTTTTTTTTTTTTAAACCCTAAATCCCCAAATCGATTTCGTAAATTAAACCTGAAATCAAGAGAAATTCGATATATAAACAAAGAAAAAATAGAAGATATGAACTCAATTTCTCATCTAAGCAACTAAAAACTAAAATCCCCAAATCGTTTTTGAATTTTTTAAGAACCCTAAATCCCCAATCGATTTTTTGTACTTAGAGTCAGAGATAGATGGGATCTGTAATGGAAATGAACACTGGAGCCGGCGACAAGCGACGGCTGGAGAGGTTTTTTTATTCCAGTTTTTAAAGTGTAAAACTCTCTAAACCTGCTTTAACGAGAGATAGACTTAGAGAAATTAGGGCTGGGAGAAAAAATGACATTTTAGAGTCTATAGATTGTGTATGTCTATTTTTGTGAAAACTTTATTGTATACATTTATTATATATATATCGCAGAACATTTTTTATTTGGGTCAACTCTGATTAAAATTCAAAATGTACTTGGTTTAGTCAATATAACTTGGTTCTATTCGGTTTGTTCAACAAAATTAAAACCTCTTCAAATAATTTCGGTTATTCGGTTCGGATATTTCGGTTTTCGGGTATTACCCAGAACCGAACCGGTATCCATGGATCTCTAAAACAAGATCCAATAGGTATTTTATGGAGAACCGAAACCGAACCGAACCGGTGATTTTGGGTCGGTTCCGGTTCGGGTATTTTGGTTCTGGTTATTTTGCCCAGGCCGGATTGGATCCATCAAACCTTTTAAGTCGTGTCTTCTTGCCAATTGCCATGATGGTGTTTCATATCTAGACTATGACGTATTTGTACCATAATTCACCGCACGGCAAGAATTTAGACCATATCTTTGGATGGGTAGA